GCTCCAGGCTCGGTGCCTGCAGAGCGGTCCCCCTGCCTGTGGGCAGCACGGCTGCGGTGTCACCGTCTGCATGGGGAAGGACACGAGCATTGGGTGAAGCAGGGGTGCGGTGATCTCCCCCAAAAACCTCACGCACCTGGGAGCCGCCGCACAGCTGTCAGCAGCCTGGCGTGTCCCCCGTCCTTACAGCCTGAGGATGCGGCTGGAGTGTTTGATTTGGTGTCAGAGGAACTGCAGCATTAGGATTTAAAAGTTTTAACGGATAATGGGTTAAACATGGCAGTTGTTTCTGATCCCTTAAGGGTCTCCCTCCCATCGCAGCCTCCTCCGGCCAGTGAAGATCAGTGAAATGTTGGCTCCCTGCCAATGTCCCTGCAGCCCTCCCAGGGCGAGAAAGGGCTTTGCTGCACACCCACACGGGTTGGGTCTCACCACAGGAGGTGTAGAACAGTTCCTGCAGATGTACAGTATTCCGTGTCCACATCGTTATTTCTTCATGCCAAAAAAAGCAGCAGGAGATGGGGGTCACTGCCAGACAAAGCCGTGACACGCGTTTGCTGGCATTGCTCAGACGGTGGGGGAAGCCCACACACCCGACCCCCAAGAGCTGGACAGACCTCAGGGCTCCTGCAGCAAACCACTTCACTTCAGCCGTGGTTGCTCGTGGTGCATTGCATTCCCGCTCTCACAGTGCTGCAGCCTCAGGGGAGCTGAGGTTGTGCAGCTGGGAAGGTACAAGAGCTCCACAGCGGAAATATTTTTAATTTCATTTTTAATGAGTTGCATCAATGCTATTCAAGCAGAGCTGTTGCGGTGCCTGGTGAACACCTGCCAGGGCAGATGCAGTGCCAGCAGGCACTCGACACGTACGGAAGCGGTGAGCAGGAGGGCAGGCAGAGCCTGCTGGCTCTCGGTGTTCGGTGAAAAGCCTCAGGAGGAGAGGACAAGGGAGCAGCCCTGTCTCTTGTTTCTTTCTGTCTGCTTACAGGTACTCTCAGAGCTGAGCCCTCTGGAGTGCAGGACCAGCCTCCCTGGAGGCAAGAAAGGATGCGTGCAGACACTGGGGATGGAGCAGTGCTGAATTTCTGGACATTTTAGACTTCTCCAACTTTACATACAAAGGGCCAGATGTGATTTCTATCAAGGGGGTCTGCTGACTTGGCAGCAACGCGTGCCTCCAGCCCTGCACCAGAAAACATTCCAGCCCCCCAGTCTCAGTTCCCAGGCTGCAGGACCAACCTCCCGTGTCTGGACGTTGCCAGTGAGAAGGCAGCACCCGTGATGTAGCTCAGACACCGTAGACTCCCAGGAGGCCCAGGAGCATCAGGACAAAAATGGACACAGAGCTGGGGTGCATGATGAAAAGTTTTCCCCAGGACTAATACTTGCACATGAGATCTCATACCCTTTCACATCCACGTACTGGAGGACTCACAGCAACAGCAAAGCTTCATGTCCGTACCTCAGCGTTTCTTTTCTTCACCCGTTAGTGTTGAATCAGTCGGTTACTCTGCGAAAGTCAGAGTGAGATGGAAAAGGGGGGAGAGTGATACAGAGAATAACAGCAAGGAGTAACTCAGGGCTGGCAAACTATAGTTAGCAAAGGAATTATTTCATTTCTCTGTTACATAGAGAAATTCTAATGGATAATAAAGAAAGCAACAAAGTTCATCGCTGGTCTGGTGGTGTGTCACTGTGTGCCGGGAGTTACATCTCAGGAGGGCAGTTAAGTTGATCCGTGGGCATCATTTTCTCGGTATCGATCTTGTAGGACTGAAGAACACTCTTCAGGTGTTCCACGGTTTCTGGGTGCATATCAGGCGCTCTTGACATAATCCAGGCGTAGTCCATGTGGAAGAGCCAGAGGATGTTAGTGCAGGAGTAAACCAGCGAGTAGTTTTCATAGTCGGTGGAGATGACCCAGTAAGGGGCAGAAGGCATGACTAGGAGAAAGAAGGGGACCATGAACGCCATGGGTGGCTGACCCTCTGCAGCACTAGAGCCACAGCTCCTGGTGCCACTCCCACTTTTGTTGCTCTTGAGCTGTGTAACTGTGGTCAGTACGGGGAGCAATAATTTATAAAAGTCTATCAGGACTCCTTGTTTTGCCCAGGGAGACTCAAGAAAGCTGCAAAGCCCTGACTGGGAAGGTCTTGCTGGAAAGTTAATGCTATGACCTGAAGAGCTCGTCCAGGCCACAGAAAGCCAGCCCAGCTCGTACCTGTGTGAGGTTGCTCGCTGGCGGGAAGGAGCCGTAGGGCTGGGAACCGACAGCGGTGATCTGAGCAGCACAAGCCACCACCTCCCGCCCCACCACCCACTGCCCCTCACAGCCAGCTGGAGCCCAGGCAGTGGGAGCCAGTATGGCTCAGCCCATCCCACCAGCACCAGCCACCAGGGCCAAATTCTGTTCTCCATCAGGCTGCAATGCCTAAAGCATTTGCTTGGAGGAGGGACAGCCACTCCAGCATCAAACCATCAGGCAGAAAGCTGGGCAGGGTCCAGCAGGCAGGTGTGAGTGCCCCGCGGTTTATTTCTGATGCTCAAAAAAAAGGCGCTGTTCTCAGGGGCTCGCATCTGGTAAGGGCTGTTGGGGCTGCACCTGCTGCAGTGATGCCTTAGCCGTGTGTAATTAAATTTTGCTCATGAAGAATAATATCTCCTTTGTGAGTACCCCTGCTCCACCCATTTCTTCAAATAACCCATCTGTGTGAGAGCTATCAAACAGCCAAGGAAGGGGGTGCGAGGGAGCAGAATAAAAACAGAGCCAAGGGGAGACTTCAGCTCATTTTCCAAAGCATAGCAGCAGACAGAGGAAAGCGCTGTGCAATGGGAGTAAAACGCACTGCACCTTGGTGGGCCCCTGTCCTGCATTGCATTGACAAGGGAAGAAAGAGCAAATGAAAACATATTATTAACGGTTATTAAAGGTGCTTGTAAGCAGAGGCAGGGTGGGCTGGTAGTTATACTGCTGTGTTCAGAAAAGCCTATTGCTGGCCCTTGCAGCTGCATACCCCACCTCCTCCCCTTCCTGTGCCCGTCTGTGAAACGACCAGGAGGGATGGTAGCACTGCTTTGAGATCAGCTGGTGAGGAGTGCTCCACCACTGCAGGGGCTCCTGCTCTGAGTGATGTACAGCTATCACCAAAATGCTGCCTGCTGGTCACAACATCTGTCCCAACCCTTTGCCGTTGCCCCATCGTGCTGCACTGGAGTTACCGGGGCAGGTTCGCCTCTTGCTTTGCTCCCCTGATGCCATGGCAGCAGGTGCTGCCCACCCGCGATGCCTGCAGCACAGCACTGCGGAGGCCCGTGGGCAGCGGGGACCTGGGGTGGGGGGGCTGCAAGCCCCCAGCCGCACACTTACACCAGTTAAAGCGGACACCCAGCTTGGCCGGCTCCTTGACATTCATGTGCATCATTTCTCCTTCGACTTCGTTGACTTTGCCATTGGAGCTAAGGGGAGAACGAAAAGGTGAGAAATAAAATCAGGTGAGTTTGAAATAACTTTTTTTGTTGTTCCACTAAATCATCGCTCCTGATGCATCCACCTGCCAAGAGGTGGCTGAAACACGTACCAGCTCACCACAGCATCCCTGGAGGGACAGCTCGGGCCTGGGGATGGTTTCAGCAGTGCCCAGGGCACACCAGGACCTGGGCCAGGCACCGCGGGGCAAAGGCTCTCCCCAGTTAAACCACCAAGTGCCCTGCCAGCGGGGTGCTCTGCAGTGCCGGGGGACAGTGACAGGGAAGAAGGAGAAGGAAGACCCCTCTGTGCGGGATGGGAGGATCCCAGCACTGATCTCGGATGTGCCAGGGAGCAGCTCAACTCCTGCTAGTTGTGGAAGGCATGTGTTCACGTCTTTTTAATCACCTGTGTTTTTTCCAGGTCACGGCACATTCCTCTGTGCACAAATCACCTGTCCCTGCTTGGTGAGCCAGGGTTTGTTTCGCTGCTGGTTCAGAGCACTACCCTGCTGGCAGCAAGCCCTACGACTCGGGCTGCCCATCTCATAATTGCATTTTTCCCCGGATACCTAAAGACCTGGACGCTGCCTGTGGGGCAGGAAAGTTTCACGCTTCTCTGCGAAACAGGAACACCCAGGGAGGCAGAGACTAATGCTGCCAGCAGCAGAGGCCAAGGGGCTGATGCTGGAGCCATGCACAGTGCACACCTGACCCAAAAAATTCCTGACATTTCAGGGTCCTGAGCTGCTGCAGTGGTGGCACCAATGGTCAGATTAATTGCCTGCGGATGAATGCAGGCGCAAATGTCCAGCTGTTTGCCAGATGCTGCCCTACCAGCGGAGCTGCAGAGACAGTGGTGCAGGGTCAGCAGGCAGCATGGGCGCTGCTCTCTGCCTGACACAAGGGATGTGTTGCTGCCTTGTTATTGTGAGCCAGAACAAAGTCCCCATGCCATGCCAGGGAGCGCAGGGGACAGCGCTGCGTTCGCCGCTCGCTCCCTCTTATTCATTGAGCCATTCACAGCAGCAGCCCACAACAGCCGGGGCTGGTGGTGGGAACAGATGAATTAATATCTGCATCGGTCCTTGCAAAAAGCCAGGAGGGCTCGGGATAATTGCAGACTATCAAGTATAATAAAGGGAACAATCGGTGCATTCCCTTACACAGCAGTTACTACCAGTGCAAGGTAAATGCTCCAGAAAAAGGGTGACAAATATTTGCTTAAGTAAAAATTATTTGTGTGCTTGACCTTCCCTTCCCCTTTTCATCATGTCCCTTTACTCTGGAGCAGAGAGGAGCGCAGGGCACAGGCACCTCTCAGCACACAGGGCACAAGGTGGTGGCTGCCGTCCCAAAATCAGACCCGTAACTCCCCAGGACAGGACCCAGGGCATCCGTCTTCTCAGCCACCACTGAGGGGCCACAAACCAGTCTGGGGGAGACCCAGACTGTTTCACACTGGAGTCACCATGCGCATTGGATCTATTTTCTCACTACTCACCTTGGACATTGAAACAGAGACCCAGTGAGCCCCAGGGACACACCAGCAGAAACCAGAGACCCGTGTCTCTGCCGTAGCCACAGCACAGCCCGTTATCCCAGCAGAGCTACCGCAGCCACAGGTTCCTCCCCCAGCACCCCCAGACCCAGACACAGGCAATTTGGAGAAAAATTACCACCAAGAACAGCAGGAGAGGTGACAAGAGTGCCCCGGCTGCGGTGAGGACGCAAACACTTACAGCACCTCCTTGTTGATCACCATGAACTTCCCGTTCTCCTTCAGCGAGTAATTTGCCTGGATGCAGCTTCCTTTCTCAAAACCTGAGGGCAGCTTCTCTATCTCATACCATTTTCCCAAATACTGATAAAAGAAAGTCCGGAGAGAAGCTTTTAGTGCAGGAGGGCTGAGGCAGAGCAGCCCAGCTCGTGTGCTGGCACGGTTTTGGTTGCTCGGTTGGTTCAAGCATCCCCCTCTGTGGTGCAGGAGGCTGCAGGGGGCTTGGGGAGCCGCAGACCCATGCTGGCAGCTCCAGCACTAGGCATCAAGACCCGTCCCCCAGCCCCCAGCCCTCGCCCAGGCAGTCTGCCGGTGCTCCCATGGCCCCTTAGCCGAACGCGCTACCTGCCGTGAGATTTTTAGAAAGCTCTTTGCACCTTGTTGATATCAAAGTCTTCTTGGACTGGTGGATCTGGGCATGGTCCCATGTGGAACATCTGGCCTCTCCCAAAGCCAAGGAGGCCGAGCAGGACCGAGAGCCGCGCTGCCGGGCCCAGCATGGTCGCGCCAGGGGCAGGTGGGAAATGGACCTGGGGAGGAGGGAAATGGACCTGGGGAGGAGGAAAATGGCTGAGCTGGTGCCTCCCTGGAGCAGAAATCTGTGCAAAACACAGCAAGAAAGACAGGGCGTCTGCAGCAGGGCACCTCAGGGGCACAGCGAGAAGAAAAGGATGATGAGAGGAGCACGAAGGCACTGTGCCAAATAAATCCACAGCCCAAAACGGCCCCAAGCAGCTCTGTGGGAAGCACAGTGAGAGCGCTTATACCCATCACCCACACTGGACAGCGAGTGAGATGCAGGGGTGGCAAACACCCCAGGATGCTCAGAAACATCATAATTTGTGCAAAGCTGAGGCAAGGGGAAATGCCAAGATGTTTGCTATAAAATGCTGGAGCAGAAGGAACATGCTCCAGAGCCGGGGCCCTGGGGTGTGGAAGTGAGCGTGTACACCACTGCAGGAGCCTGCATGGCGAGCAGGACATCCCCCCGTGTGCCAGGGCTGCCTGGCCCTGCGAGGCGGTGGGAGGGACAGCGCAGCTGCCTTTGGGGGGAAACAGCATATGTGCCGGGATGTACACAGCACTGCAGAGTGGGGAAGTTGGTCAAGACCCAAATCATCGCCAAATGAAACATGAATTGACCTCCCAAAGCCATGCTGCAAAGAGGCAGAGGAGACATTTTCCTGCAGCAGGTCCTTGCAGCCCTGCGCCCCACAGTCACGATGCAGCGTCCCCTTGGCTACGCCAGTATTGGAGCAGAGGTGGGAGTTGTGCTGCTCACCCCCAAGCAGCCCCGGGAACCAGGACACTGCCCACATGCTTCGGGCTCTGCTTAGCACAGGTTGGCACCAACAGACCCCACAGCATGGGGCTGCTCTGCTTCCCTGCCAGAAACCCCTCCTCAAGAGCAGTGGCAGCATTTTCCCCAAGTTTAAAAGAAAAGCCCAGCCTGTCTCCAGCCACAGCACGCAGACCCCGCTGTGGACACACACACAGCTCCCATTTTGAACCTCTTAATTCAGAAACGTACCTTGGCTGATGAGGTGGAGTGATGCTCTGCAGAGGACGAGGGCTGCAAGGAACAGCTCTGTGGTGATCTCTCTGCCTTCTTGTTTTATAAGCATGCTGGGATCATCATTATTCAGCACTAGCACAAGCCACTCCCTGGTCCTCGACGTGTTTTGTTTTGTTGGCAGGCTGGTCATCCGCCTTAGATCTGCAGCTGGTATGAAGCTGGAGATGGGCTGCAACTTGGCTGCTCACCCAGGCAAACAAAGGCACCCCACATGTCTGGGTATGGCTCCGCAGCTGCAGAGCTCTCTGCCATTCGGCCATCCACAAGAATCTCAGACCTGGGTGCAAATGGCAGGGGAGGGGCAGAAGTGCCACAGCCTTGGAGAAGGGCTGGGGACAGCAGTGGCTCCCATCCTGCTCCCTCTGGCCCAGCAACAGCCATTGCTGTGCTCCCAGAGGGGACTTGCAACCTCCTCTGTTAGGGGCCACGTGAACCCTGGAGACCCTCTGGGCCACTGGGACATCCTCGTCCCCATCACAGACACTCGCAGCTGTACATGGCGAGGACTAAGGTACCGCAGGCTCATCTGGGGATCTGCAAGAACTCTCAGCAGTTTTTCCTCTAGACTTAAACCTCACTATAAGGAAAGATGCCAGTGCAATCATTTCTGCGCTGACCTGGCAGTTTTTCCAACAGGTACCCAGCAAATGGCTTTGACAGCAGAGCAGCCACCTGTGAAGCAGCCAGTCCCCAGAGTTATGCAAGGGGAGTTGAGTAACAGACAGGATGTTCTCTGTTTAATTACATTTTATTTTAATCTAATAGCTGTTAAGACTTTCTCTCTAGGTATGTTTTCACACGCTGCACCGTGTACCTTACTTGCATAGGCACACACACACCCTTGAGCCCCTGGCTGCCCCAGTGCCACCCCCAGAGCCACGTGTACCTCGGTCCTGTCCCTGACTGGGGCCATGCTGCCGAGGTGTACCCTGAGACATGGCCACAGCCCTTGTGCTCCCAGGACCTTGATGGCCATTGCAGCTGAGCACAGCTCATCCAGTGCAGACCCAGCAGTGCTATCCAGGGGTGAAGAGCTCGTGGGGAGCACCCACTCCACGGCCCCGCCAGCAGTGCTTGGCATGGGGCAGGGGAGCAGCTCTCCCCGCCTGCACCCGGCTCCCCCAGTGGTTTGGCAGACACCGTATGGCATGTGCCTGATGGGGTTGCGCTGGCTGCCTGTGTCAGTCAGACGTGTCCTGCAGACCCTCTGCAAGCCCCATGTTCATCTGCACCTCTTGTGATACACTCAGGTTAGAGATCAGAAAAACCCTGGGCAGATGCCGTGACCTGAACAGCACGAGCACTGCCGTGCCATAGCGCGCTGCAGAAGTGCGATTCCCCACGCACAGCAGACCTGTGAGCTCAGTCTTTCTCCTGAGCTTGGCTGCCTGCATCCTGCAGAACAGCCATGGAGGAAAGCTCTGCAGAACGGCCAGCCTCGGCCGCAGCACAGCATTCGCCCTGCATGCGTGAGGTCAAGCGTGTGGCGGTGTGGCGGTGTGCGTACCCACATCTGCACATGGAGCGCTCTCCTGCGGGATGGAGTGAGGACTCCCGGGCTGTGCTGGATGTGTTTTACCCTTGGAGGGAGCTGTTCTGATGAATCCTTTCTCCCTGCTGTGGCAGGAGGGGCTGGTGCTCACTCTGTCCCGGGCACTGCCCAGCACCCAGGGGCTGTCCTGCAGCGCTGGCCCTGCCACTGCTGCGCCCGGTTGGCCAAGCACTGCAGTTTGGGCTCCTGGCATCCTGCGGCCCAGGTCACACTGGAGCAACAAGGCGTTCACCTAGCCATGCTCCCCGAAACCTGCTGCAGGAATATAGATTCACCTGGGATGTGGCCAGGAGGGGATAAGAAGCCACGAGAAATCATTGGGCACCACAGAGAGTGGAGGTGACGTGTGGGGGGGGCTTTCCTGGTAGCCATCGGCTCCTCGCAGCCAGCAGCAGCAGCAGTGGAAGAAAACCTGTGTCTTGGTAGGAGACACGGGGGTCCCACCTCCAGCCAAAACCAGCATTTGCCGGAGTCCTACCAGCCAAGAGGCATCCATCCCTTGGGTGCGAGGAGCTGCGCACCTTGAAGCGCAGATGATGAGAGCTGACAGCTGAGCTGGCTGCCAGCTGCTGGGACCTGTCTCCCTGTGAGCGCTGGCTGCGCCTTCCCCAGGGGCACATTTCTGGGCTCTGCCTGGTGCTGGCAGGAAGCACCCAGGAATCTGCCGCTTCCATGTTGGATCGCAGAAGGCTCGAGCTCCTGCAGCTCAGTCCTTGCTCAGGCCTCCAGGTCAGGACGTGTTCAGCAGTCTCCCCATCCCCAGCACCACCAGGACCCTCTTGTCATCCCACCTCCAGCACCCACCAGCACCACTCGCCCGCACAGACCAGAGCCCTGCTCCATGTCCTGTCTGTCATCAGCCTGGAGCAGGACTCGGCTCGTGAGCCCATCCGCATTCAGCGCACACCAGAGCAAGGTTTGGGGAAAATCATAAGCTTATAATTGCACCTAACTGTGGGGTGGGGAGAAAGAAGTAATCTCCACCTGGTAAGCGGTTTGTGCCCTGGAGCAGAGGAGGGGAGGGACATCAAAGGGCAGGAAGCTGGAGCAAGGTGGGAGGACAGGAAGGAGGAGAGCTGGGGGGGGAAACCAGGGCAAAAGGGGGGGTCACCAGACACCCTCTGAGCGCTTCACGCAAGAATGAAGCCTCCTCCACATTTCTGGGTGATGAGGCTGCTGCAAGGCAGGCGCACAGGGTGCGTGCACACCATGTGGAGGGTGAAAGGGCTGGGGGACAAGGCAGCTGCCTGCAAGGCGTGGGTGGGTGCCAGTGGGGTGTCTGGGTGATGTGCGCACAGGGGAGGCAGGAGTGGGTGCAAGGTGTTAGACAGCGTGAGGCAGCACAAGGCAGGCAGCACATCCAGGGTGGGCAGGCGAGGCAGCCCTGCATGCGGGGCACAGGCAGGGTATGCAAGGGGTGACACCATGGCGGACACACGCTGTGCAGGGGCTGAGGCGGTGCTGGGTACATGTGGGGCAGGGGCTGAGGCAGCACTGCATTCGGAGTGCATATGGATGGGCTGCAGCAGCTGGGATTTTTTCATGTTACTCAGTTGTCTGTGTCAGAGACAAGGCTCTGCTGCCTATGAGAGAGGAGGCAACAGTACTGAGAGCTGCTAGCAAAGAAAACCCCTTTGTTAGAATAAGCTGGAGCTGCAGATGAAATCCAGCCAGCGGAGGGCTGGGACAGCGCAGTGCCACGCCACCCATGAAGCTCTGCCTGCAGGTAACCTGGCTCAGCGCAGCAGTGAGATTGTCCCACAGCATGCACCAGGCCACCCTGAAATCAGCTCCTGGCATTCCAGGGAAAGGCTGTCTTATCGTGCTGCACCTCCCAGCTGGGATTTCAGCAGCTGTAGAGAAGCCCCCAGCAGCTTGGCACCTGCCATGGGATGGGAGAGCAGCCGGGTGACACCATCATCTCAACCCTGCGATGAGATCCTGTCCAGGCGTTGACGTTACTCAGGTCAGCCCAGAAACTGCCCAAGATCTCACCAGTGGGAAAATCCTGTGGTGGAGGCACTGCAGGACCAGGAGCTCTGGCCACACCACCAGCTCCAGCCCTGGGAGCCACTAGCCCAGGGCTCCTGGCCTGTCCCCATGACAAAGGTTTAATCTGCGGATGGTGTCTGAGCAACCCAATGGCACAGGGGCTGGAGAGCTGCCATGGTCATGGCCATTTTGCACAAACAGATCCCACCTTCAGGCCGGCTGCCTTTGAAGCCCTGATGCTGGAGCCTCTCTGTGGGACCTGCAGGGTCGAGGCATCACATCCTGGGAGCCAGGATATCTTGGGGGTCCTGAGACTCCCATCACGGAGATGCACGGACAGCTCTTCCCTCCTTCCTCTGTCTTTCATCCTGCAAGTTCATTTTTTGTTGTTTTTCTCCCTCCTCTAAAGGAATTGGGGCTTTAGGCTGGCCAGACAAGTTGCTACATGTGTATAGAAACAAAAATGATCTTGCAGGAGACAAGGCAGAGGAAGGGAAGGCAGGTGGGAATTTTCCTCTGTTTCTAGGAGTGGCAGAAAGTGCTCTGAAACCTGTTCATGCAAAATGGTGTAAAATTTCAAATTACAGTTATGACACCAAAGGAAGTAAACAGACTCTGGAAGCATGAACTGGCCTCTGGGATATGGGAACTTGGTCCAAGGCAAGTGCACAAAGATGTGATTCATACATATGCAATTCGTGAGTAGCTCTCCACCCTGGAAATTACCCAATTATGTATTCAAAATACAAGAAACCAACGAGAGAGATTTAAAAAGCTGGAAAACTAAAAAAGATATTATTATTTAAGGGACAAACCCTGTCGTGCAGGACCAACAGTGGTTCTGGCTGGGCTCTGAGGAAGGCTCCCTGACCTGCTTGACACTGCTGCCAAGGTCCACAACGCTGGAGAGAGGAGCCAGAGAGATCCTTACTTTTCCAAAAGTAAAAAAACCAACAAAAAAACAAAAAACAGAGAAAAGAAAAACAAGGCCAAAGAGGTACAAAAGAGACAGCAGGCAAGTCTCTACAGACAGAACCACATTGAGAGCCAGAGCTGGACCAGCGATAAAGCGTTGCCCAGAGGCATCTCACCCCTGCAGATACGCTCACCATAAAAACCAGAGTTCAAGCAGTGCACTTAATCCTGGCTTTTCAGTGTGTCCCAAAAATGCCCTGCACCAGGGTCAGCCTTACACTGCCAAATAAGGTAAATACTTTTTTTTTTTTTTTAATTATGGTGATGGGTTATCACAGCACTGGCGAGGTTCGGACAGGTTTCCTTCTCGCTGCGAGGAGCAAGGAAGCGCAGCAGAAGGGGCAGAGCAGGGCTTCTCCCAAGGATGCGGGAGCAGACCCAGGGTCTGATGCCAGCCTCCCGTGGCCCGGTCTGTGACGTCCTGCTCCGATGGAAGTACTGTGGGTGCTGCCACTCCGTGCAGGGTCCTGCTCCCCCCTCACACCCCACCAAGCCCAGCCCCGACAGGTA